ACGTGTATTGAATTAATGAGGTAGGTATTTGTTAAAATCTATGGTATACATATTTATTATAGCGTATTGCAAATACCAATTGTTAACTAGATTTTAATCACTAAACTGGTATTATAAAATTTTTAAAAAAGTTAGCTTATACCTTTATGAAAGATATAAAATTAAGTTCCTGGAACATGCTGAAATATATTTTTTGTATAGTTAGGTATCAATAAATATCAATTTGGTCATTGTTTAAATAAAATAAAATGACTTTATTTTTCTTTGCTTTACGAAAAAAAAAATTAGCCATTGATATGTTTTTAGATAAAATGTAATAATAACAAAAATACCAAATTGTTATTTTTTTCTTTGAACTAATAACATTGGATCATGAACTTGTTTTCTGATAGAAAAAAAGAAATATAAGTAACAATTATATGAATATCAATTAAATAGAGAACATTTTTTTTAAAATTTCAATGTTTAAAACAATATATCTTAAATGTACTCATCCCAACTTTCAACCATGATGATAACATTTAGTTCGAGTGTATAATTCTTTAAAATAAAATCTTATACATTTTTAAAATGCCCATTGCTTCGTGTTATACTCAAATTTCATTTATTTAAAATGGCGACGACATTAAAGGTTGGTGGAAAATTTTCAAAACATCACGGGTTTCATCAGATTCCCACGAGTTGTATATTTATATACAGAGTGATTCATTATAAGACCATGTACCATGTATAAATTATTTTAACTGAAAGTGAGGTTTTTGCATAATTTCACAAATCGGCGTATAATATGTTTTAAGAGTAAAAAAGAATTTTAAATATTATTTGAAATATAGGTTAGCGAAATTTTGCGTTGACGTTAGCTCGAAAACACAATTTATTTTGCTTAAGAAAAACAATTGTATGATGTGATGTGCGTTTCCATTTCCACTGTTTACATAAATGAAAATCGTTTATGTAGAACGTTTTACACGTTCAAAAGACTGTAAATATTTTTTAGATACCCATAATTCAGCTTGTATAATGTACACCTAATGCCGGCAAGTACAGGGTCTATAGAGTTTTGTGACTCAAATGACTTATTGGCGATATTCTAAAACTATGAAAATGGTAAAACGACTTATGTGAAATATTTTTTAGTTTTTATCGTACAATGATATTTTAAGGTCATTGTAACCGAGGCCCGGGTCTACCCGGGTAACAAGTTTTAGGGAGAGGGGATTATAGAATCTCTTATATCAATCTGTATATTAATTAAGACAATATGCATGATATAGGTACGCTGTCTTTTTTCCAAATATCGTTATTAAATTTAATTTAACTGAACTTATCCAACTAAACTGATGTTTATAACATCAATCAAAAGAGCCGTTGCGTTTATAATTTATTTAAAACAAAATGTGTTTTTTACAATAGTTGTAATGCATTTCAATGACTGGTTTTAATTAACTAAAAAAAAAAAATTTCAAGTTTTTGAGAATGAAAAGACAGTATTACTGACTGAAAGAATAGTAATAAGCACGTGGTTGTTGAGACGATCGATTTTATTATTTACAAAATATATATATATGTTTTCCCCCTTTTATTTTACATATACGATCTATACAATTTTAGTACAATAAGTATATATGATGACACAAGTAAATTATAGACACTGAAAGTATGAAAAGAGAAGCCGTCCACTGACGACACTCTTATTCACTACGTTTTTAATTAATTGTTAGTGAGAAGGTCTCTGCACCACTTCTTTTTAAGTCTTTTTGGTGGGTTGATGGGCATTGAGGGTAATGCGAGATTACTTACAAGGGGGTTTGGGTGATTTTGAAGAGAATTGTGGTAACGTCTGTTTTAGTCTTTGACAACTAGTGTTATTGTTTTTATTTGTAAAATTGAGTGTAGATAATGGTTTGAGATAAAAGGTGATACATTAGTGATGAGACGGAGTATTTTATTTTGTGAGAATTGTATTTTGTTAAGGTTCGAATTTTTAACTGAGCCCCAGTTTTGGACTCCATATGTCCATAGCGGCTTAAGTAAGAGTTTATAAATGGTTAGTTTTGTGTGAAGGGGCAACTTCGATTTAGAACGAAGAAATCTTCTCAGAATGTTAAGACGTACGTTTAGTTTAATTTTAGTGGAGTGTATGCGGTGCTCCAAGGTACTTGATAGTATTTGAGCATTGTTTAGAGTAACGTGAGAGCAAATTCCTTGTTTGAGAGTGAATGCAATATGGCAAGATTTAGTTTCATTAATTTTGATTTGTAATCAATCATTGTACCAGGTTTGAAGACTATTGAGGTGAGATTGCAAGTAATGAGAAGCAATTTGTAAGATAGAACTTTATTTGTTGAATATGGGTTAACTAATTTTATGTTAAAAAAAATCGCTAGGACAATATCTTACCCTTTATCAAATATCTTTAATTTATTTATCGCGCAAGGTGTACTCACCTCTTGCCTATCTTTAAAAAACAACTTGGTCTAAAGATTTCGTTATCTGCAGCTATTCAGATATGTAGACAACTTGCATCTTGATGCCATCAAATATCGATACTTTGCATCTCACCAAGGCCAAATCGAAAAATAAAAATAAGTTAAGACGATTAGTAATGGAAGTTTACAAATTGATATAGTGATAGCCGAAGAAGTGATAATTTAACGATAACTTATAATATGATAATATACAACACTATTATTCTGCTGCTTATACTGTACTCATAACTAAAAAAGTGGTATTACCTACTAGGTACTTTATTACCATTATTTCTCAATACCAAATTGTATTATTTTAAATCTTTTATAAGTCCATATTTTTATTTTTACCTTATACAATTTTTAAGAAAAATATTAATTTGATAATGTTTTTAACTAACTGCCTAACAACAATGACTTCCTTGCGTCTTGTGTATGGACTTACGAAAAATATTATGCAATGTGTCTATTTCAATTTATTCACATAGCTGTATTTTTATAAAATCAAATAATATGTATACACTGTCGCAGAGTTTAGACTATTTTTCCTAATATTTTACGTTAAACGCTTTCAACTATATTATTGTCTGTGCCGTTTTATCGGTAAAAAAAATCGTATAATATTATTTAGCTCAGAATGTATTGGTTTTGCAATAATATGTTTTTTTCCACTTGATCGATTTACTCGAATAGGACTCTTTTATAATCTGATTTTATGCAGTTAGGACTTAAAACTTATAAAATTTGATAAAAAGGTAACTCCTTCATCCCAAAATCCGGAAAAATTAAACACTAATTTGCCGGTCTTTAAACTTTAAACTTTCACTTGCTATAACTTTGCGAACACCCGTTGGAACTAATTAAAATTTGTATAGAATTTTCTTTAGGCATGCCTATATCTACGAATTTTCTCAAGTCTAAACTTTAACCTCAAGGTCCCCCTCACTAGATATAGACACATATAGGCACATTCAATTTGGGCGGTTGTGGGTTTTAAGAAATTATCATAACCGAGAATGAATGAAATTAATTAAGTTTTTAGACCAAAGTTTAATCATTTTCATTTATGATTTTTTTTTTTTTGGGATTAGACGCGTTTCGTCGAATTCTATTGAAAACATGGGCAAAATTTAACAATAAAAGCCAACTGGGCAAAACGGGCACAATTTTTTCGGTTCAACACAATTCATTGCATTATACTTATTTAGTATATTTCATACAAGATACGTTTCACTAGATATTTTTATTACATTCTATAGAAAAATGGTGGCTTGGTAAATAGTGTATAGATGTTTACTTTAACCTCGCGACAAACACAAAAAGAACGTTGCAAAAGAAAATATGAAATTTTAGCATGTGTTTTTTTCCGTAAAGAATATAAGTGGTACTTGTTAACAAAAAAAAAAAAGCCAGTACAGTAGGGTTGGGGCATAGTGAAGACAGAGAGGTCACAGGTCTACAGATTTTATTATGACTGAAAGGGTTAAAATCACTTTTAAATAAACGCTTCGACGCGAATCTGTGGATAGTATGTTCAAACCAGGTATAGCGGTTTAGAATATATCGTGGGACCAGCAATAATGTACTTAAAATTTAATATTAATTAGTCTTGTGCAGGGTGGACACGATAAGGGTTGATTGTCTGTCTATAAAATGTACTGTCATAGTTACCCATACATCGTAATTAGCAATATAATGAAGATATTTCCATTACCTGTTGACTGTTGATCCACTCGCACATAGCAACCTAGAAACTGACTAGGGCCAAAATGTTATAAAATTGTAACACGAAAGCAAAATAATAAAATATATTGTTGATTGTGTTTTTAGTGACACTACTATTCTGTATAGTAAATTTCTATTTCTATTTTGAAATTTTATAGTGCTTAACACTATTACATATAAAAATAAGAACTCATAATAATTGTCACTATTACATATAAATAGTCGAACTAGTTATATTAATTAAAAATATAATAGCTTATATCTCCATGCAAAAATTCCAACTTTTTGGGAAAAATATATAGCAGTTAAGTGTTTGTTTAATTAAATATTATGATTTGTATAATAGTGTTGTATATTATCATATTATAAGTTATCGTTAAATTATCACTTCTTCGGCTATCACTATATCAATTTGTAAACTTCTATTACTAATCGTCTTAACTTATTTTTATTTTTCGATTTGGCCTTGGTGAGATGCAAAGTATCGATATTTGATGGCATCGGAGTAAATTAAATACATGTAATGGTGCTCCAATACACAATTACTAATTTCTTTTCTGTACAATAATTTTATAAGAAAAATTACACACCTTAGCGTTAAGGACATCAATATGTTTGTATAGTACACATACAACTAATTATAAAACCAAGAATGTTATGTATCATTTGATTCTCAACAAAATGCGTATTTTCTATATTATGAAATTTTAGAAGATCCAAATTAGGTAGTCGTTTATTAGTTTTAAATGTATAATAATAATACAACTAAAATCAATCTTATTTTATTAAATAATAAATATACTATTGAATAATTCCTGAGGTACATATTATATTATATTATGGATAGCATGTATTATTATTTAAATTGTTTTTTTACAATAAATATTTTATAACAAATACAATATTATTGAATACAATAATTAAAATTACATATTGTAGTATCGCTGTTTGGGCGAGAACCAAGTCTTTATCTGTTCCTCAAGTAATACAAGTCCTTTTTCACGTCCACCGAGTGGTACTTCCATAACTATAAAGCTGAGGGAGCGTTTGTATACGTATTCATAGCCAGCACTTGAAGTTAATATACAAAGACCATTGATAACATCAGCGGTTTTTATAAATTCATCTGGGAATTTTATACTTCTGATCAAACCTGTTAAACGGCACATCGTGTACAAATTGAGGGATTTTGGTACTTTTCTAACTTTGTCTAAAATTTAAAAACAATTTTTTAAAAACTTGCCAATTTTAGCTACAACAAACTACTTCAGTTTTTTGTTCAAAAAACTAATACAAGGGTATAAAAAAAATTATTAAAAACAAAACTGAATTCGTGTAAATGAATCTATGATGTAATTATGTATTATTTATGAACTATTGATGAATGTGATTCCTATTATTATTACTGGAAAAAAATATTGAACAACACACTTTTTTCTAAATTTATTATTTGAGTGGTACATCAAATAGCATAATATTAAAATCTACACTGGTACAAATCTACAGTAATTATTAATAGTTACGTATTGCAGCGAGAAGTAACGATTTTGTAGCTTTTGCAGTTATAAGTCTTCTATCTGCTCCAAGCTCTGGCAATGAACCAATACCTGTAAAAACAAATAAATTACGGTGTTAAGGAGAAAAAAATAAATATTTTAATGAACTGTAACATCGTTTTGTACAACTCGCTATTAGTTTTGAAACTCGAAGAAATACATTTTTTTTATACTAGAAATTCAAAAAACTTCTAACACTTTAAAATTAGAATCAACGTTGGTCGGTTAGAAGTTGAAATCAATGGGGTTTTTAAAATCGATTTGTATGAACAGGAAGTTTATAGTAAGTTTCATATTAAAGCTAACTGCTATGACATAAAATATATTTGCAATACTTCAAATTTCAATTTATCGGTATCTAAAACAATAATATTATAGAGAGATTAAATGCTAGTAGTATCCACGCAAAAAGAGATATAGAACAGTTGTAACTTTTTAATTAAGCATTATTTAGTACAAAGGATTTGCAATTTTCTTATACATTTTATTTTATTTTTATTACATTATCGGTGTACGTTATGCATAGTCAGGGTTTTCACAGTATGGAGTCATCTTAACAAAGTAGAGTCGAAATAGTTACTTAAATTATGTCCTTTTATCAGCAATTTACGTTTCTGGGACACTTTTCTAAGGTACCATGTTAGGCGTGCAGTACCTAATAGCAATTAATATTGTCACGAATTCGCCTAGGTAGCTATATAATATTTAATTCGAATAGTAGATGATACCTAAAGGCCTTGCCATTTTGGCAGAGTTATGAAATGTTTAAGTAATAACTTCGACAAAAATAGTCTTAATTAAAAATCTTGAGAGAGATGAAGAAAGTCTGTTTTTTTAAATCGAATAAAATATTTTTTTAATTTCTATAATATACTTCCTATTTATAACATAAACGTTATTTACGGCAGTCAATAAATGCCTGGTTACCTTCGTTTGGGCCAAGTACAACATGGATATCTGAAAAAAAATATGAAACCTTTAAATAGTTTACAGTAAAAAAAAAAGCATTTAATCAAAGTAAAAATTTTGTAAACTGGTACATTATATTTCAAACGATCTTTAAGACTTGAAGAAAAAAATATAACATAACTCGATGAGTTCTAATAAGCTATTAATCTTATTTGGTTAAAACTGAGTAATTATTAATTTAAACTATTCCTCTCCCAATGCCATTACCTACAAAATATACATAAACAAGTAAAGTTATAATTTTTAACAAATAAATTAAATAAAAGGAAATAACCAGTACACGACCTCTAAAAAATAACTTTGAAAATTGTTTATAAATATATGGTTAACTAAATTATTTACTAAATTTATTACTTAATGATTTTTGTTCCACTGTCTCCTGTTCAGCTACGTCAATATGTTCTAAAAAAAGAAAAATAATACATATTGTCCTATGACATAAATTCTAATACATTGGATTGTGTCTAAAAATTAACTAAAAATTGTATACACTGCTATAAATTATACTTTAACCGATCATCAAGCTTTTATAAATAAATATAATATAGTTTCTGACTTTTAATTGTGATAATATTTTTAACTTATTTGGTTAAGACTGAGTAATTATTAATTTGCTCATAAATATATGTTATAATATATTATATTTACTTTTTATTGGTTTTTCTTGCCATGCCTTCGGTTTAGCTAGGGCCATATATTCTAAAAAAAAAAATTAAAATTAATTTTTTTACGATAGAAAAAATAGTGAACGATTTTCTTTTAACTTGTATAGATTTGTGTTTTTAATATTAACCTTAAGTGTTATTTACGGCATTCAATAAAAGCCTGATTACCTTCGTTTGGGCCAATTACAGCAATGATATCTGTGAAAAAAAATATGAAACCTTTAAATATTTTACAGTAAACAAAAAACATTTAATCAAAGTAAAACTTTGTAAACTGCTATGAATTATATTTCAAAGGATCATCAAGCGTTGTATCAAAAAACATGATATAGCTACATGACTATAAATTCTAATAATAAATTTATCTCTTTTCGGTTAAAACTAAGTAATTATTAATTTTGAAAATTGCTCATAAATATATGTTAAGTTATATATGTACTACTTAATGATTTTGGTTCCACTGCCTCCTGTTCAGCTACGTCAATGTGCTCTAAAAAAATAATACATATTGTCCTATGACATAAATTATAATACATTAAATTGTGTCTAAAAATTAACTAATGTAAACACAACTCTAATTAAGAATTTACCACTCAAAAAATCGTATGCTGAAGCAACTAAATACGTTATACGAAATCAGTCTACCCCTCCTAAGCATTTAATAAATGTAATTTTTTTTTACACTGGAATAAATTATATTTCATCTTTCACGTCGTCTTGTTTAGCTATTTTATTTTTTGTTTGTATACAGATTGTAAATATTTTCTTAATTTTAATAAATAAAAAGATTATTGATAGATTGTAAGATTTTCATTTAACTTATATAATATTCTATTTATAATCTAAAAATTTAGGGTAACTTATGGTACTCAATAAGCCCGATTACTTCCACCTGGGCTAAGTACAGCTTAAATTTTTGTATTAAAAATATTTTAAAAAATGTAACTATTTTATAGTAAACAAAAAACATTTAATTAATATAAAACTGTATACGCTGGTATGAATAATATTTCAACGATCATCAAGTCATGTATAAATAAATATAATATAGTTTCATGAGTTTTAATTCTAATAATATTTTTACCTTATTTTGTTAAGACTGAGTAATAATTAGTTTTGAAAATTGATCATAAAAATATAACTTTTATATTTATAAATAACTGTTATATTATATTTACTTTTTATTGGTTTTTTTTGCACTGCCTCCTGTTCAGCTAGACCAATATATTCTAAAAAAATTTTTTTTTTTAAATATGTCTTATGATAGAAAAAATAGTAAAAGATTTTCTTTTAACTTGTATTTATAATATAAAACTTAAACGTTGTTTACGGCAGTCAATAAATGCCTAATTACCTTCGTCTGGGTTATTATGTCCTCGTACATTAACGATTTTAATAGCTATATAACAAATATAAAAGTTTAATTATCTTACAGTAAACCAAAAACATTTAATCAAAGTAAAATTGTGTAGGCTGGTATGAATTATTTTTCATACGATCATCAACACTTGTACCAAAAACCACGATATAGCTTCATGACTTTGAAGTCTAGTAATATATTTGATTAAACTGAGTAATTATTAACTTTGAAAAATTGTTCATAAGTGTAATATGTTAAACTATATATTTACTACTGAATGTTATTATTTGCACTGCCTCCTTTTCAACTGTGCTAATCAATTCTAAAAAAAAAAAATAATACTTATTTTTTTATAACAGAAATGGTAATAATATGTTAGTTTGTTTCTAAAAATAAAATTTATTTTTCTATCTACCCCTCCCCCCTTCAGTCGATAATAGTTTTAAAAAATGGAAAATTCCTAAATTTTCAGATTTATCGCGGTTTTTTTCTTGCTATAATATATTTATCGTACTTAGTTAAAACTGAGTAATTATTAATTTTGAAAGTTGTTCGTAAAAGTTATGTATTTAACTTTATTAACTTTGTAAACTTTATATTTACTTCTCACGCCTAATATTTCATTTTGCACTGTCTCCTGTTCAGCTATAGCAATAGATTCTAAAATAAAAATTATAAAACACATATTTTCTTATGACAAAAATGATAAAATATTAGATTGTGTCTAAAAAAAAATTATAATTTTCAAACTACCTTTAAACTGTAATTTTTAAAGTGAAAAATCTCTAAGTTTTCAGAGTAATTTTTAGACATTTTTTTTTTTTTGCATTTCATAAACACGGTAAACGTAATTTTTTTAATTTTAAGTAATGTTTACTTGAAAACTAATTACATTTTTTTACAATTTATAAAAGTTCTCTTATATCTGAAATATTACACTTCGAAAAACAAGGACAAGAATGGTTTTTATCAAGTTAGAACTCAATTAAACTGGTAACTGGATGATTTGCAAAAAAACAAATTGTTATTGCGAAATTACAATTTACAGATTTTCAAAATGTCATATTTTAGATTTAACAATATTATTCCATATTGTTGTAAAAGTTCAATTAGTTTTTTAAAATTGAATTTTTTCAATAAAAACTATAAATTGTTATTGCGAAATATCAATTGACAAAATTTTCAAAGTGTTATATTTTAGATTTAACAATATTATTCGTTATTGAAAAAGTATAATTAGTTTTTAAACTACATTTTTTTCCGATAAAAGACGAAAATGTTCCAAGTTAATCAAATGAAAAAAAATATATCACGATGTACCACTGAGAGTTGAGCTATAGATCTAAAATCTTAGGGATTTCTCATCTGAATGGGCTACACATATAATCGATTGAAAGTGTGAGCCTCAGGAAAAACAAAAAAAAATGAAAAAACCTACTAAAATGTAATATGTTTATAAGAATCAGGATAAATATTGGTAGTATATGATAAAAATGGTTACCTGGTATGTTAAAAATAGATATTGATTCTGAAATTAAAACGAAAATATATTATGCTTAACTTAGTTATTAATGGTTATCAAGAAACTATGTGGAAATACGTCCAAAAATTTTATGAAATATTATTACCAGGCATAGCTAACATCAAATTAACTGTCACTGAAAAAATAATAATATAAATTAATAATGCCGGATTTGTTTTTAACACTTAAATAATTTTTTTTCTTACTAGAAATCAATATTTTAATTTTTTTTTATTATATAATAATGATTACCCATCGGTTTATCTCCATTAATAATATTTTCAATTACAGTCTCTAATCCCGCAGCATCTATAAGCAAAATAGTGGTGTTAGGTATCACTGAACTCAATATATGGAACGCGTATTCAGATTGAAAAATGACCCCACCTGGGAGGCAACCATTTTGTGTATACTTTTCTAGAAAGTAAAAATTATACGTCATTTTTCCATGATATATCTTAAAATTTTAGGTTGGATAATGATAATTTTATCTATTTTGTGATAACACCGTCATATATATATATATATAATCATAGAAAAAAAAAATATCATGGATAAACCAGGGGACATTTTCATAGGTAGCCGACTATAGGCAATACGCGTTCCATATATTGAGTTCAGTGTTAGGTATACACATAACTTTAAATCAAATAATAATAATATATAAAACTATAACTAAAAATCGTCAAAATGAGAGTACGCGATACTTTAAGGTACTATTTTACTTGACGCTATTCAACCTGTTATATTATATAGTAATTGTCAAGTGTGTTTTAACTAAATTATAGGACTGCTCGTTTAGGTAAAAATATGAAGTATTCAATTTTTTTAAATTTATTATCTAAACAGTATTCGAAATACCAGTAGGTAATATATTCTCTGTTCACTCATATACTGAACAGTTAAAAAAAACTATAAGTAATTTGTATCTTACTTGTTTTAAAAGCTATTTCGATGAGTTTGTCTGTAACAAAATAATATTTCGAAATTTTTTATAAAAAATTATAAAATTAAAAAAATATATTATATTTATGTTGTATAAAAATTTGATACTCACTTGTCATGAAAACCGTCTTTGCGTAGTCCGCTGTAAGGAAAAATTAAATATTGAATTTTTTTTTTAGTTTTTTAATCACCTCGAGTAGAGGCAGGTATGTGTAAAAATAAAATAATTACCTGTCGTTGTTGACGGAACGTTTACAAAGGCAAGCGCCATTAAAAAGCAGTAGATTTGCATAATGTTGGATAATAGCAATTAAATAATTCGAATAGTATAACTTATAAGAAAGATATGAACTCTGTTAGCTTTTATTAACTCTGTTAATTTTTGTGCTGTAGTGATTTTCTCGGGACTAGTCGTTGAGTCAATGTATCGACCTGAACAGTAAAAATCAAACCACATATGGCAAAATGCAAGTTTATTGTTGTCGCATATGTTGTAGTTGAAATATTTACATTTAGTCTGAAGCGAAGTTTACTATATTTTCTTTCTAGTTATCGATTTTTCGACGGTTCATGTAAAAATAATGTTTGTAGTTTCCAATAATATAATAATAATGAAAATCCATTTAGCTTAAGAGATTTCAACTAGGTCGATGTTAGTGATCTTGTTTTCAGTTTTAGACACTATTCTCATTTAGTGCACTGATGTATGACAAACAGGTAACTGTTTGAACAAGCGTACAAAACATCACATCAAAATATGTTTTCATTTTATTGCAATAAAAAACAAGACCTAAAACGTATATTTAATACGTTTCCATGTAGGAAAGGAAATAAACAATTATTTAGAATTGTAATAACAATGATAAGACCGTTAACCTAACCTAACCTAACAATAAAAGCCAACTGGGCAAAACGGGCACAATTTTTTCGGTTCAACACAATTCATTGCATTATACTTATTTAGTTTTTTTCATACAAGATACGTTTTACAAGATATTTTTATTACATTAAATAGAAAAATGGTGGCACGGTAAATCGAAAAGACGGTAAATAGTGTTCAGATATTTACTTAAATTTCACGACAAACACAAAAGGAACGTTTCAAAAGAAAATAAGAAATTTTAGCATGTGTTTTTATTCGTATCAAATATACGTGGTATATTACGTGGTATACGTGTTAGTATGTACTAACAAAAAAAAAAAAAAATTATAATGGCAGAAATACCAATATAAGTAAAATGTGCTTAAAAATGTAGTTGTCTGTACATAAAAATTGAATGCCACTGATACCTGTGTATTGTAATAGTTAACAACATATTGTAATTTTACTCAAATACATCTTGACTATTGATTCCCTCTCACATAGCGACCTAGAAATCGACTACGACCAAAGTATGAATTCTCTATTTTTTTGGAGGGGGAGGTTCCTTAATAAAAAAAAATCTGTTTGACCACGTATTTTTGATATAGTTGTAGATCTATTCTAGATCTCGATCTATTTTCGGTTTATGTTTCAGACTTAAGACCCTAAAACTTCAGTTAAAATAGCGACATAAAGGAAAAAATTTCACCTCTTCTTGGGAAAATTGTTTTTGATATTTTTTTTAGGTTCTTTATGTTTATCAGTCTAAATTAAAAGTTGAAAACTTGTATGAACAAGTGTTGTCGAATAAAATTAAAAAAATGAAATCATATACTGAAAACCTTCGACTACCGTATAACGTCTTGCGAGTATAATAAGTTAGAATACATACCGCGATATCATATAAAAAAACTTGAATTTTACTATAGTATAATAAGAGTATACAAAAAAATAACAATGATTGTCAATATTTGTACATTTTGGTTATGTTGTGTTGTTACAACGTCAAACATAAAAACAATCGAATCAGCAAAGAACCAGGTAAGCAATTATTTTGAAATACATTTCTTAATAGTTGAACAAACTGCTATTGACATAGTTTTAAAATAAAAAATTTAAGTTGGTTAAAGTTTATAGTTTTTTTTTTTTAAGAATAATGTAAATATATTTTTATTTCAGGTTAGTCCTATACAATATTTTTATCCGCTATGTGATCGGTGTTATTCAAAAACCGTAAATCGCTTGAAAACATTCAACCGACATCCAATTATTATGAATACTGCAGAACAGAAAATGCTGGCAAAAATTTGTGATAGTTATAAAGTTAAGAAATTAAAAATGAAAATCGTGAAGAAATTAGAGAAAAAAATCCAAGACGTCAAATGCAGTTTTTGCGTAATTTCAAAATCAAACATATTGCGGTTGAAAAGCTTGGTTGATGACTTGATGACCGGAGAGCCTTACAGCGATTACGAGTATATTGTACAACGTCTTTCAATACAAGCCGGAATTATGGTTAGTTTATTACTGTCTGGAAATATGGCGACGGACCAATGGCTTTGGAGCTATTATTTGAAAACCCTCGCCATCAGCCAATACGGAAACAACAAACATTTCATCCGGGAAAACCCATTCGAAGAAGACCAACTGCAAACGGGCGTTTCGGATTTCATCGAATATTGTAAGGCCAAAAAATACCTTCCTACGGCCACGACGGAATCGGATTTGGTTTCGGAAAACCCGAATATATCCAAAGACATGTTCCACGTTCTACGCGCTTCCAGAATGTTTTTGGACGTTATGTACGGCCTGGATTTGGTCACGGCAGAGTTTTTATATCTAAAACCATTTTGGGACGACGATCAATTATTATTGTTCGGGCAAATCACCCGAGAAGTCAACGTCGATTGGAGCAAGGCGAAACAACGACACCAAGTCGAGGTGGCTATTACCAGAAAATTTGTGGAAAATCGCACTTGGATATACAAACCGTACGATCGCCTCGACCACCAGCGCCTGCTGGTCAAAATCCTCGATGCCAGATTCTATTGTTACATTTCGGCTGTACTGTATGTCTACGAAAAACAATTGGCCATCCTCGACGAACCGTCGCTGGCACACATCAAAGGTCTTATAAATGACATTACTCACGAAGCAATGAAGTTTATGTCGTTCAAAGACGACTTTCTTTTAAACATCTTATCGGAATTGATGTACGCAAACCCAATCGACGTAGACGACGTAAAAGACGTATTAGCAAGAGTCAAGACAAAGGCCAACGAGATGTTAGACGATTTGAACGGTGCCGGAAATGGCGGAATCGATTGGCTCAGTTATAACGTTATCGAACGCCAACAGTTGACTACCGACGATTTGATAATAAGAATCATTGACAACTTCAAACGATATTTAAACAAGTTAAAATATCCCTTTTTGCCGTTCGAGTACAAAACGTTCTTGTATTTTATAGGAACAGTTAAGCGAGAAAGACTATCTTAATTTTAATAATTTCACACTTATGCCACTTTATGATCATTCGTTATTGTATTACTGAGCACATTGACATTTCAAAATACTCTCTTTTTTAATAAATGTTATTCATTCCATGCACTAAAAGTGTTAGAAAACATTATAATATTATTCATTCAAAGAAATTCGTTAGACAATACAATTTATATGATATTTGAAACTGTTCTTTTTTTTATTTACTATTTTACTTTTTTTTTTTAAAGTGACTAAATCTAAAATATATTTGTGAAATACCCTGTACAAATTATATTTTGTGTTGCGGGTGGGTTAAATTCGCTTTTTAGAATGTGTATACAATAAAACATATTTTTTAACGTATATAACTGTTATTAACTATTAACAATACAAACAATACCTGTTATGTATAATCATTATTGCAGTTATTTTTAGCCTTCTTGTACAAGGTTATTACTTGTTGTGGTTAAATCGCTATTCTTTAGCTTATTATGTTAGTCGGTCAACCTATAGAGTATTTCTCTTTGTGTCAACCTAACCTGCCGGTGTGTTTGAATTGGTGGGTAATCTGTGGATTAGAACCAGTTGTAACCTATCATTATTTCAATATATTTTTTTAGTGACTGGTTATAAATTATAATAGGGATTAAAACCTATCGCACAATGGAAACATAAATATTAACTTTATGGATTACTTAACCGTTTTTAGAAAACCAAAGAAATATAATAATTATTAAGGGAAAATGTAATACCTTTACAAAGGCATAGCTAATGAACAGATGGATGAAACATGAAAATTCAAACGATAATATTTTTAACATCAAATAAAGCAAAGTTTAAGTTTAATAAATTAAGTACGACTAATTATTTACCTAACCTGATCAATTAAGTTAACAATTATAGAAACATTACATTAAATTAATGTTGGGATATAAATATTAATTCATAATACTTCTATCAATGATATATTATATATAATTTATATTATAAAGTATATACAATTTATTTAAATTATTGCTTTTAAATAATTTTCAACTTATAGCAACTTGGTTTTTTTTGTTTTTGTGTGAGCTTAGAAAATCGTAGATTTTACTAGTAGTATTCAGATATACTTTTTCAGGATTTGAATACAGAGATGTGTTGGTATGTTTTTGCGTATCTGCGCTATATCATTTGATTATTCATAAAAGAAAATACATACAATTTTGCATAAAATCCCGTGTACAATAAACAGAGTATGCCTATAGAAGAATGTAGTACATAGTCATTTGTACTCGTTGTCTTGTTTAAACTTTAACATCTGTCTTATCGACTATGTCTTCTTACCTAAGAAAATGTAAAACGTTTGGGATTACACAAGATTGTATTATTTAACTAGCGTGGCCAAAAAAGGGACATTAAAAAAAAATTCTAATACGAAAGCAAAATAATAAAATATATTGTTGATTGTGTTTTTGGTGGCACAACTATTCTGTACAGTACATTTCTAATTATATTTTTAAATTTTATAGTGCCCAACACTATTTTAACACTATTCTACATATAAAAATAAGAACTCATAATAATTGTCACTATTACATATTAATAGTCAAACTAGTTATATTTATTAAAGATATAATAGCTTATATCTCCATGCAAAAATTCCAACTTTTTGGGAAAAATATGTAGCAGTTAAGTGTTTGTTTAATTAAATATTATGATTTGTATAATAGTGTTGTATATTATCATATTATAAGTTACCGTTAAATTATCACTTCTTCGGCTATCACTACATAAATTTGTAAACTTTCATAATAATCTTCCTAACTTGTTTTTATATTTCGATTTGGCCTTGGTGAGATTCAAAGTCCAAATCTCAAAGTTCAAACTATTTTACCTGTCGCTACACACATCCGTTTTAACCTTTTTTACTTCAAGTGACTATCATATTTATTTTTCGTCTTTTTTGTTCTATACCTATTCTACTAAAAATATGCTCCAATTTGAAAAATCGAAGTCTATACTTGGTTTTTGGAGACAAAAAATAAGTAATGATAATCCAGGAGTATCTTTTAAACGGGGTTTTTCCTAATTTT